AGCCCCAAAAACCACGTGCCAAGAGGTGCTGCTTTGCCTCCCTCTTCTCAAGGTCATCCTATCCATTTGAAGCCAGTACCTGCAGGGCCCTAATAATTTCTTCTGTTGTTACTGGCTAGGCAGGAAAAACTAAGCCAGTTGCAAGCCACAAAACAAAAATCCAATCATAGCACTTACAAGAGCCACAACATTTGAAACACCCATGTTTAAAATGGGCAGATCTTGTTCTAGTTATAGCATGCTTTATTCTGAGCATAGAATCCTAAAAGCTGTTTTGAACTTGAACCATTTCTAGTCATCCCTGATATATAATGGTTATGTAAATTTGCCTTGCACCCATGACTAAACAGAAACCATCCTTTGTTTTGAACTCTAAACACATTGTGTCTCAGATTTCTGCCAAACCATTCTGGGTTGGCTACATTTCAGCAGTACCCAATTCAGAAATGTGGGTTGTTCTAGGTTTCAGTAGAGACAAAATCCTGAGGGTTATTAAAGTGAGGCTGGTTGATCTCACCCGTCTCCCCTCCTCTGAATGGCTTAAGCATGGACCAGTCTACCAGATTTCCCAGTGTTTTGCTTTCTTTATGACAAGCTTGAGGTCAAAGAAATTGGTTGTGGTGGCTAAGGGGATTTGGGAAAAGTAGGTCTTGGAAGATCAGGGGATGGGCCAGATATCTCATACCTGGCTTGAAGTCAAGAGCACCTGCAGCAGCTATCCACCTATTCCCCCGATGTTCCCAGTGCCTTTCTTTCTCTACCTTCTGTTTAGCCTCTGCTGCTGACCCAATGGACCAGATACCTGTTTCAGTCTGGAGACAAGCTAACAAAAACTAGCTATTCTTGTATGGAACATTTTTTCATTCCATTCATTCATTCATTCATTCATTCATTCATTCATTCATTCATTCATTCATTCATTCATTCACATACATACATTCCTTCATTCATTTAACTTGTATGCCACCCATCTCCCCCAATGGGTGACTCTGTGCGGCTCACAATAACAAAAAAGAAAAAACACACCAATCCCTCCAACAGTGGCTAAAATCCA